GTGTGTGTGTGTGTGTGTGTGTGTGAGAGAGAGAGAGGGAGAGACAGGGTCACATCACAGTAGAGTCAGCTGTCTTAACCGCGGCTTGTGTACTCCATCATCACTGTGTCTGTCACGGGACTCTGTTGCCCTTTCGGGCTTGAACTGATGGTAAAACTAACGACATTATTAACTGTCTTGATATTTACTTTGAAAGCTGAAGCTGCGATTATGGTAAGAGGCTTTACATTTCCGACGAGTGCTTGCGGTTTTCGGCCAATCACAATGCACTGGGTTAGCTGGCCAATCAGAGCAGACTGCGCTTGTCGGAAGGAGGGACTTTGTAGAAAACAAAGCGTTTGAGAGAGGCGGGGCATAGAGGACCTACAATAATGTACAGTATTTGAAAAATAATGTGTTTTTTGAACATTAAAGCATGTCAACATATTCTGTTACACCAAATACACAAAATAATGATCTTTAAAAAAGCATCATATGACCCCTTTAATAACATAAAACTTATCAGCAGCACTGAATTCAGCGTGTGTGTTTTTTTTAAATCATGGTATACGAATGGGATTTTTACCTCCCATATATCCCTATATTTCACCATAAATTATTTATATTGCACTTCTGGCTTTGTGCTGCTTACTGTATTATATGCTATGTGAGTACAGAGCCATTTACAGTTAAAGGGTTAGTTCACCCAAAAATGAAAATTAGCCCATTCACCCTCAAGGCATCCTAGGTGTATATGACTTTCTTCTTTCAGACGAATCCATTCGGAGTTATATTAAAAATGATCCTTGCTCTTCCAAGCGTTAGAATGCTAGTAAGCGGGTGTTTTTTTCAACAGTCCAAAAATAGTCAAATTATGGAAGCCCGTTTCCGCCACTGAATAAAAAAATATAATTCTGTAAGTCATAATAATGAGAAACTTTCTCAAAATTATGACTTAGTATCTCGTTATATTGAGAAACGTTCTCGTAATAATGACTTAGTTTCTCGTAATAATGAGATACTTTCTCGTAATAATGAGAAACTTTCTCGTAATAATGACTTAGTTTCTCGTAATAATGAGAAACTTTCTCATAATAATGATTTATTTTCTCGTAATAATGACAGCCTAATCCACACACACACAAAAAAAAAGACTTACTCGACGCATGCGCAACGCAAGAGTGACAGCACGCTAGCGACATCTGTTGGTCAAAGCCATGCAGGAACACCGCAAACATTGCTTTGTTCTGTAATCTAAAGTGTATATTCTATCATTTAATAACGATTTCAGATAGATTATCTGTATGTAGTCTTTTGTTAATTTGTAGCACTTACCAACAAGTTACTCTGCCAGACAATGATCATGGCTTCAGATATAGAAGAATATATTCCAACAAAAATCACACGCATTTTATGAAGAAATGAAAGCCATTACACATATAAACTTAATGAATAGATGTTCATTTTTCATTTCTTCATAAAATGCCTGGATTTCTTAACTGAAATATTGGTCTGGAATGTTTGAAGCCATAACTATCTGGCAGAGTAACTATTACACAAAAGACTCTACATACAGAATTTATCTGAAATCGTTATTTAATGACAGACAATGGTATTATACACTTTAGATTACAGAACAAAGCAATGTTTGCGGTGTTCCTGCATGGCTTTGACCAACAGATGTCGCTAGCGTGCTGTCACTCTTGCGTTGCGCATGCGTCGAGTAAGTTTTTTTTGTTTTTGTTTTGTGGATTAGGCTAAATCATTATTACGAGAAAGTTTCTCATTATTACGAGAAACTAAGTCATTATTACGAGAAAGTTTCTCATTATTACGAGAAAGTTTCTCATTATTACGAGAAAGTTTCTCAATATAACGAGATACTAAGTCATAATTTTGAGAAAGTTTCTCATTATTATGACTTACAGAATTATATTTTTTTATTCAGTGGCGGAAACGGGCTTCCATATCAAATAAACCTCGTGCATCCATAATAAAACGTGCCTCACACGGCTCCGGGGGGTGAATAAAGACCTGTAGCGAATCGATGTTTTTGTAAGAAAAATATCAATATTTAAAATGTTATAAACACTTTTAAATGCTCTAATTTAAATTAGATTGTATAATTTCGAAATTCTTTGTTTGGATCATGATTAAAATTCAGTGGTTGCCTCTCATTTTAAATGGAAAGAGCACAGGCAAAGCCTTTGTTTGTTTATATGAAGAGATTTCTTTTCAGTTGTATTATTTATTCATTTGGGATTTTTTTTCAGGTTTTAATTTAGTTTTGTTATTTGACATTTTAATTTCACAAAGAAATGTGCAGAATTTTGTCTGAGAAATAATAAAATGACACCTTTTCATTTATAATTTGTCTTGAATCTTATTTTGTTAAAAAAATCATGAGAAAATTGTATCGTGAAATCAGCATCGCATTGTGAGTTGAGTGAATCATTACATCCCTACAATAAAGCCTAATCTTATACGTTTTCTATTCTGTTATTGAATTTGATTCACAGGCTGCTAGTCTGAGGCAGTTGGAAGAGGAGAACCAGGAAGCTGCGGCGCGTCTGGAGGAAGTAGTTTACAGAGGAGACATGCTGCTGGAGAAGATCCAGTCAGCTCTAGCAGACATCGCCCAATCACAGCTGCGCACACGCAGCGGAGCCCCGAGTCCGTCGACACCGCCAGAGTCATGACAGCGACTGACCCCAACCAAACATGGACTATATCGTCTGTACACAGCAGGGATTTTATACTCATCCTTCATGGATCGCAGGAGATCTTGTGTTAAATGTACAGTTTGTTTCTGGACTGAAGAATGATTCTGATTTCATTCTGTAAGTGCCCACTGTTTCCCATCGCATGTCTTGTTTATATGACCTCTGACGTCGTTTTCAACCTGATAACCGTAAATGTTCAGCATCCATCAGCCTTTTTTAGACAGTCACCATCCGGGTAAGTTGGTCTTTGTATATTTAATGATGTTTTTTCATGCCAGGATCATGCGGTGTTCATTTTATTTTGAATAAAATGTTATCATTGTGTTTAACAAATAAAAAAAGTACCTGTTATTCTTTGCTAATTGAATTATGAAGGTTGTAATTTGTCTCATGCAATGCCATTGTGAAGAGACTCTATACTTTTAACAGATTTATACACATAACAGATCTAAAACCGGCTGGTTTTGTTTTTATTTTGTTCCTATCACTTCATTTATCCAACTAAAATGTGAAAACATGAAATGCTGCAATTGAACAAATGCTTTGGTTGGTCTGAAATGTATAAGGAATTATATGCAGTCCCAAAAATTGGAAATGTTAAATATTTTGTAAGAAAGGCCAACAAGTACTGTACAAATACTTTAAAATGGTTGCTAAATTAAGTTTTTTTTTTTTTTTTTTACTGTTAAATCTTCATCTCATTACAGCGAATTTAATCTGCAGAAACGGACTTTGATATCACTTCATAATGGTGATAAAGAACTTTTTTTATATAAATAGGAGTATTTATAATAATTCAAAAATTTTATTTTAATAGTTTTCTTATGCACTAAATTATTTCTGTGCGCAGCCACGCTGATTAGCGCGTGACGTACACGTTCTTCCATCCAATAAGAACGCGTCTTCTTAACGTCAACTAAACAGTATGGCGGCGTTCGTGCAGTTGGGATTTTTTCCTGCAGACTTTTATGAAGACGAGTGAGTCATTACCGAGGTAAGAGATTACAGAGTATTATGTATACGATTTAGAACTGTTAAATATTAAGACACAAGCATTTTAAACATTCAGACTGGAAAGGCTGCGCTTAGTGAAGCGAACCGAGATCCTAACATGAAATAACTATTGTATAACTACTAAAACATTTAACGATGTTTATTCCCAACAAGCCATAGTCATTTAAACATCAGCCAAACATATATCAACCTTTAGTTTAGATTAAGCCAGGATTAGGCCATAGATAAATTAGGACATTCAAGTAATTTTTATTAACGTGCTTAGAAAATAACATTACCGGTGTGCTTTTTGAGACTAAACAAAGGCACTGATATATTTTAAGATCAGTCAGTGCAAGTTTCATTCAGTTAAAACAGCTCAGACTTCCACTTTAGAATGGAGTGTCCTTGTTTTTGGAGGAGCTTGGGTCCAATCCTGGTCCGTTCAGGGATTTCTTTCGGATTAAAGAAGATATGCCCCCCAAAAAAAGCAGGGTTGATGTGAGTGTGCCAATGGCTCAGTGGTAAGATCACGGCCTTCCATGAGGAGGACCACGGTTCGAATCCCGGCCAGGGTGCTGGAGCAGAGTGCAGCTGACCAGACCAGACTGGAGTCTCTGGACAGAGGATCGAGTCCCAGCAGAAGAGAAGAATGGAGTGGAGAAGAAGGTGAAAGGAGTTAGAAGAGCATTGAAATTAAGCAAACAGTTAGATTTGATGCATAAGCCCTAATGGTTTTCTTCTCTGATGTCATCAGATGCTTCTCCCCCAGTTCTGGAGGCCCATCTTCTTCTTCTTCTTGACCCACCTGTACTCCGGTGAGTGTCCCGACTCCTCTTCAGGATGAACCCATCACTCCTCATGTAGCCCATTGCCACAACCCTGCTTCCAGATTCGAACCAGCATCCTTCCGTTCAGGGAGGACGTGCTCTTACCACTGAGCCACTGGCACTTCCACACTAACACTGCTTTTTTTTGGAGTCTTGTCTTTTTTAATTGGTAAAAACCGATTAAACTTTTGCAGGAGTGAGATTTGAACCCTGGTTTCCCATGCAAAGGTGCACTGCTCAGACCAGTATAGAATATTTCAACCCCAGAAAACCTCCAAGACCACAAGAGACTCTGAACGTCACAAGTGTGAATTGACTGTTCAGTTACTGAGTTTTTAATCCAAAACTACCACATACCTCCAAGAACTCATCAGAGACCAGCTGCTTTACATCTCGGCTTAGTTTTGTTTATGTTTAATTGTGAGACTAACAGCTTATTTAGTATATTGTCCATTGTCTCTCTTTTCTTGATATGAGACACAGGTGTCTCTTATTATGTCTCTTACAAACAGAAACACCCAAAAGAAAGCTAAACGGTCTATTAATGCTTTGAGAAAATACTTGTTGCCTTCCAATTGAGAATCAGAATCAGAAAGAGTTTTATTGCCAAGTGTGTTTACACACACAAGGAATTCGTCTTGGTGTCAGGAGCTTGCAGTACAGAAAGTACATACATTTAAAGTGTTTATCGCAACAGTGACAAACTACTGTCACACTATAGCATCATTCAGACCTGAAAATGCTTTAAAAAAGTCATAGTAATTTCCACCAGAGACATTCATGTTTGATTATGTAACTTTTATTAAAAGTACAAAACACATTCAAGATTAGAAAGGACATATGCAAGGCAAGTTTACTTATATAGCACATTTCATACACAATGGGAATTTAAAGTGCTCTACATAAACATGATAAAAAAACACAGTAGTCGTAAAGACATGATCAACATGCAAGAACATGATAATCATAAAAATGTGCAACATACAATGAAAACAATAACGACTGTAATAAGTATAATGGAACAGTTTAAATGATTGTCAGTGATATTTATGCCAGGTGAATTTTTTTTTAAACTTTTATTCAGAGCTACCATCTGGTGGTCAAATAAGTGAACTTATATTACTATATTAGTATTATTTATGTCCTATTTTGATCACTAAGTATTTCATGCATTGCATGGCATGATTTATTTTAAAAATGATAATTATTTATTTTCATTTAGAAAATACATTAAATATTTGAAACACATAATAAAACACATTTATAAACTTTACTGACCAGTCATTATTGGATAAAATAAATGCATTTCAAAAACAAGATAAGTTCACTTATATGACCAGCAGATGCAGCTCAGCGTAAGAAATACAATATACACAAATACCCATTAAAACTAACAATAAAATAACAATAATGAAACATATGCCATTTTTTATTGTAGCAATTTCTGTGTTTTTTCGTAATTTTAGTAGATTTTTAAAATACTATTTATTAATTAATTTTTAGCTATTAATTTCCAGTTAGTAATTTTGGTCCTTTAATTTTAACTGTTGCCAAGGCAACATTTATATACTAGCAGTTCAGCTACTATTTACATAAACGACAAAGATGAAAAAAAAATATGTACGTGTTTTTATTTCTTTTACTTACTCGAAGCTGCCATCTGGTGGTCGTATAAGTGAACTTATCTTGTTATTTTATAATTATTTACGTCCAATAATGATGACTGTTCACTAACGTTTCTAAATATATCTGCCAAATATTCCATGTATTTTCTCAATTAAAATATTAAGTCATAATCTTAGATAAATCTGCACCCTGCACGTTTGCAAAAATATCGAATAAATATCACATAAATAGCAATCTGGCGTATGTGTGTTTTTAACTTTGACTACTTTGATATAAGTGAACTGAATCATGTAGTTTCACATTTCGCCACAAGACGGCGTAAAAATGAGAAGATCAAGCGGTGGATGGGCTGAAACCAATTCTTCATGTGACTTAAATTATTATAAAAAAAAGAAAAAAGGATAATTATTAGTCTGTGCCGCAAGCACGTTGAATAACGCATGACGTAAGCGTTCTTCTGTCCAATCCGAACGCGTCTCTTCAACAGCGTCATCCAAACAGCATGGCGGCGTCCGTGCATCGTTTCGGCGCAGCGGGGAGACACTTTATAAAGACTTTATTGAACACAAGAACCATTAACAGGGTGAGAGATTACAAACACATCATTAATATCATTTAGAAATGCCAAAATATTGAAAACCACGTCCTGGCAATCATTTAAAACAGTCGGGTTGAGACTGGCGTGGTTGCTGGGTCTCAGTGATGAAAACGTACATTAAACTTTTATTCAGAGCTACCATCTGGTGGTCAAATAAGTGAACTTATATTACTATATTAGTATTATTTATGTCCTATTTTGATCACTAAGTATTTCATGCATTGCATGGCATGATTTATTTTAAAAATGATAATTATTTATTTTCATTTAGAAAATACATTAAATATTTGAAACACATAATAAAACACATTTATAAACTTTACTGACCAGTCATTATTGGATAAAATAAATGCATTTCAAAAACAAGATAAGTTCACTTATATGACCAGCAGATGCAGCTCAGCGTAAGAAATACAATATACACAAATACCCATTAAAACTAACAATAAAATAACAATAATGAAACATATGCCATTTTTTATTGTAGCAATTTCTGTGTTTTTTCGTAATTTTAGTAGATTTTTAAAATACTATTTATTAATTAATTTTTAGCTATTAATTTCCAGTTAGTAATTTTGGTCCTTTAATTTTAACTGTTGCCAAGGCAACATTTATATACTAGCAGTTCAGCTACTATTTACATAAACGACAAAGATGAAAAAAAAATATGTACGTGTTTTTATTTCTTTTACTTACTCGAAGCTGCCATCTGGTGGTCGTATAAGTGAACTTATCTTGTTATTTTATAATTATTTACGTCCAATAATGATGACTGTTCACTAACGTTTCTAAATATATCTGCCAAATATTCCATGTATTTTCTCAATTAAAATATTAAGTCATAATCTTAGATAAATCTGCACCCTGCACGTTTGCAAAAATATCGAATAAATATCACATAAATAGCAATCTGGCGTATGTGTGTTTTTAACTTTGACTACTTTGATATAAGTGAACTGAATCATGTAGTTTCACATTTCGCCACAAGACGGCGTAAAAATGAGAAGATCAAGCGGTGGATGGGCTGAAACCAATTCTTCATGTGACTTAAATTATTATAAAAAAAAGAAAAAAGGATAATTATTAGTCTGTGCCGCAAGCACGTTGAATAACGCATGACGTAAGCGTTCTTCTGTCCAATCCGAACGCGTCTCTTCAACAGCGTCATCCAAACAGCATGGCGGCGTCCGTGCATCGTTTCGGCGCAGCGGGGAGACACTTTATAAAGACTTTATTGAACACAAGAACCATTAACAGGGTGAGAGATTACAAACACATCATTAATATCATTTAGAAATGCCAAAATATTGAAAACCACGTCCTGGCAATCATTTAAAACAGTCGGGTTGAGACTGGCGTGGTTGCTGGGTCTCAGTGATGAAAACGTACATGATTATATAACGACTTTGCGAAAACGTTTAATTTTATTAGTACTCAAAATCGTATGTTTACCTATTATATCCTGCTGAGTAAATCATGGTTATGTCGCATGATTTAAAGCGTGATGTCTGTATTTCAGCCCAGATCCACTCAGGCTGTCAGTCAGGTGGTTTTAAATGTACCTGAGACAAAGGTCACGACCCTTGATAACGGGCTCAGGGTGGCATCTGAAGACTCTGGCCTGTCCACATGCACGGTGAGTTCACAATCAAAATCAGCTTGATTTGTTTGATCTCAGGTGGCTGATGAATCTGAGTACCCAACATTAAAATTAATTTTATTGGGGTGATTTTTTTATTTTTTTTTAAATGAAGTCTCAAACTGAAACTTGTGTTGGGGAAGTGTCTCCTTGTGACATATTTTTGTGGGAGGTTCCCACACGCCCATGTCTGAAATAATGATAACATAATGATACATAATGCATTTATTTTATTGCATATCATAGTAGAGTCACATCTTATTACGCCAAGTGAGTTTTGCCTTTTTGTGCAGAATCAAATGCAAATGAACAACAAATATAAGTGAAATTACAGCTAAGACAACGCATCACAATAAAATGTTTTTTTTACATGGTCTTTGTATCAAAATGTGTTATTCAATGTGATGATCAACAATAATTTTACCTCCTTCTTTCCAGTGGTATTTTAGCATTATGTTGTTGTCATATAGTGTCGTCATATACAGGTAGTAGTTTTGTTAATTTGATTAGTTTGTTAAATATTTCTATTTATGCTTAATTATATTTATTTCCACTTTTATTTTCTATTTTGGTGTTTTAACTTTTAACTTACTTATCCAAGGCAACATTTCAAATTTTCCTTTAAGTTTTTCATTTAATAATTTTATTTAGGCCTTA